GCGAAATCAAAGATATCGAGGATGAAAAGTGTGACCGACATAACAACGTGATTAAGGTAATTTTATAACTACAGCTTGACGGTAACAATTTGCATGGTTTTCATTTTAGGACGCACCCCATACTTTTGCTAATTTTATAGTCGACTCATGGCACAAACCGTACTCAGCTCAGCAAGCGGGTATTCCAACGGTAAGAGTCAGGATGTCAAGCCAGAGATAAAAATTTTATGTTATAACGTTGGATTCTAGAAATGGAGCGTCAATAAGGTATGGCCAGCAGTGGGTAGAATAGATGACTCATTTGGCGATACTCATCTCAAAGTTACATTGCCGAGCGAAGGTCAATGAACGCTCAAAGATGGTGCAAGAACGGATATGACAGCTGATTAATAAAACGCTCTACGTTACTTTAAATATATTTCAAATGATGTAGCCCGAAACCAGATACTAAAATTTTACTATCCAATAATGCTTCGATAAGTACGTTCATTCGTCAGTTATAAGCGTGGGCACTTAAATGGAAATTAATGTGTGGTTAACATTAGATCAGCATCAAGCGGAAAGCATTCGTCAATATATACCAGGCATATCACTGAACTCTTCTGTTCATTGCATCATTTTCTTACTTCTAGAGAAATGCATATAAACTCATTGGAGTCCTGATATTATACCTTCTGCAGTAAATGGATGCAATACCTCATTACTGCGCTGGCTTTCATAACTATATCTTCTTACAGGGATAAAATGGCGTCTAGAAGCAACGGGAGAGATTAACACCAAGCGTATCTGTGAAATCGACACATTTAGATTACGCAATTCGGCGGTATCAAGAAAGTAAACAAAGAACATAATGGGCAGTTCTGATTCATTAAAATATTGAACTTAAATTAGATTCACAAATTTTAGTGACATACACTGAGAAAAGCTATTTAGTCCCTCAAACGTCTCGTCCGTTCTGAAACAGGGCGTAGGCCATCCAATGAAATATAATTGATTAAGTATTAAACTTCTTTCCTGGAGAAAACGTCAAAATGTATTTTTCATAGATTTTCCACACAGGTCTGACAGTCACCTATTACCACTGTCTGAATGATGGTCCTTTCATGACAGCTACTAAAAAAATACGCTCCATAGCACTCCACTTTTACAGTTGAACCCGTATTACAATCGTCATAACATTCTGAATCATTGATATAAAATTAAAGTTTATGGAGTGTCCGCAGAAACGTCCACTGGAAAAAAATGGGTAATTGCATAGATACAAAATCGCATGAAAAAGGAAGTAAAACATAGTGTGCTTCCTCAGTAATAGGAATCGAAATAGACAGTAAAACAGTGGACTAAGGGGTAGTAGTTAGCATCTGATTGGTCTTCCTCTGTCATACTGGTTCCTAGAAGTCAAACATGAAATCGTCCCAGATCTTAAAATGGTGGACAAACTGTGGTCATTTATGATTTCATAAATTACCCAGCGATAGCCGTCGTTCATCTGTAGTCAATAAAAAAAGTTATATGTCCAGCCCGTCACGTTTCACTGTCCCTCCTAGCCACAACGGTCCATCGCTCCAAATTTCTCTGATTTTTGCATTCGGAACGTGGTCATACGACGAAATAGCCAACATCTTTTTCCATGGCTGTTTAAATACCAGACAGCTGTTCACATTCGTCAGCGACCACATTTAACTAATGTACATCATCGACAATAGAACTGCGTTGAAGAGAGGCCCATTGAAAAAATGTTCTCTATAGATTTAAGAACCGACTTAAGAGATATATTTCATAGTATATTCTAATCATCTGGTCACAATGTTGTGTGGTTCTTACACCCATATATCCTATTTGTTTTTACGTTTCTGTCAAGAGCTATGGATCTTTTGTCTCCGTCCTCCGCTGCCGTTCCATTCTACCGTAAATAGACGTTCCGTCAGTTAGGGATACATGTATTCTTCTTTTCTATATTCCATACGCTGCGTTTCGCCTATAAATTCGTACTGCCCTCGCAACTGACCGCGACAAAATGTTTCTTACGTAACACCGACCCTGTTCAGTAATTTTGGGTGATCCCTCAGGTTTTCACTTTGCCGCTGCACAATTGGAACAACGGCGATGTACTTTACAGTCAATATTGTTTATGTTCTCAACCAATTTACCCTGGACTACCTTCAAGCTATTCTTCAACGGTCCCACTCAACCTTGCCTGGCATACTTCGGAGGAGTATGGCTTATTTTTTGTTCCGAGTAGGCGATATGATCACAGTGCAATCAGTATTATTAATACCCATTACAGTATGTCGTAATCAGCTTGCTGATATAAGGTGAAAAGGCATACGGGAGAAAATAAGATTTGCACAGTTAATAGGATTTGCAATAAGTTACAATAATGGATCGAGTATACCGCAAAAAGCATTGTGAATAATCAAGAAAACAGCCAGCTAATCAGAACAACACGCAGAAGCTTAAGCAAGTCAAGAGAATGTTTCTGCGACAAGACCGAATAAATGAGAAGAAAGGTGAAAAAGAGCAAGTAGAACAGTGCATTTACTTCTAACGTCAACGTATTGTTTATATTTAAAAGATAAACACTGAAGGATTATCAACAGCAATCAGAATCGTTTTTTGAAATAAAAACATTTTCGCATTGATAAAACTGAACAATGCAAACACCATGATGCATTTTTTAATCAAAAAGTAATGACTGTAGTAACGACAAACATTCAAAACAGGCATTGAACTAAAAATATAGTTTGCTGACAAAAAAACTAAAGCTCCAAAATCAAACCTTAACGGGCAATAATTCGCTTCGCAAATCACGACACAGTATAGAAAATAAGATTACAGCACATTTTATACGAACATATTAACGTCACAAGATGGCAACAGCAAGCGACTCACTGCAATCTTTGAGAAGGAACAAAACGCCGGCGTGACTAAAATAGAACTACGGGGGATGAGCCAAGTCTGGTAACGACGACGTATTCGACCGAATTTGGCAACGACGTAAAGCCAGGTATTTGGCAGTGGCTCAGCATTGTGCAATCGACCATTGGTAGGATACCGCGGATGAACTTCTTTTCCAGGTGATTAGGGAAGTAGTAACAAAGGTAGGAGAGAAATTCGGACACAATGTCCTCGTTCATGATCAGGCAGCAATTTGAGCCGGCGTCAAACGTGTACGCCACTTTCGTCTCGTTGTGCATTTGGTTGAAGCAGTGCACCAATAGCATAAGGTGTCGTGACGTGTCAGATAGGTACATCAGAGGGGGGTAGGTGTCCATACAAACGGCGTGCAACTGATTACTGTCCCGCATGGTCAGTTCAGCGAACTTGGCGAAGTTGCGACATTGTATCGCCGTTTTCATTTGTCGGATGTAATCAGGAACGAGCTGTTTGACGCGGTAATGCAAGAACGAACTTGTCTCCGCTGACCTCTGCATACCATCGGTGCTGCTGCATGGCTTCGTAACACTGCTGGCTACTACTACAACGGCCATTAACTGGCGCCAGTGTTCCGGAGGAGCCAGCACTTCGCAACGACAGTCCGATCCATCCGGCTCTATTCCGGCTTTCCAGTGTACGAAACCACCGAATACTCCTCTACATGCACTTCCGGAACCTAAGCTGGAAACACTATGAAAATCACCAAAAAATCAGTGTAAAATACAATTATAGTTTAATAGGCAGAGGTACTCAACATCTGTAAGCAGAGTACAGGATTTCACGAATTTAAAACAGAAATTAAGTTTCGAACTGAGATAAAATCAAATGCGTTTT